TTGCAATAATGCATAATAAATATAATAGACATCTTTTTATTATAGTATTTTTATTATGTAATAATATATATATGTATATATATATATATATATATGTATATATGTATATATATATATATATATATATATATATATATATATATATATATATATATATATATATATATATATATATATATATATATATATATATATATATATATATATATAATTACATAATAAAAATACCATAATAAAAAGATGTCTAATATATATATATATATATATATATATATATATATATATATATATATATATATATATATATATATATATATATATATTATACATATAATATATATATATGTATATATGTAACATATATATATATATATATATATATATATATATATATATATATATATATATATATATATATTATATATAATATAAATATCATAAATTAAAATATCTATTGCTAATGTATTTTGATATTTTAAGTTTTGATATTTATGGCTTTTTTGATAGTTTTAAAAACTTAATTTATTAATAGCAAATATGCGATTAATTAAATAATTTTCATTAATAACAGCAATTATCTCTATATTTTTAGCATTCTTAAAATGCCAAGAAAAAGTTTGACAACTCTTCCTGGCACTAGAAAATATGGCACAATATCTAATTACTCAAATGCTACACTTCAATAGACATTAGCCAAAATTAAATTAGAAAACATGTCAATTGGTGAAGCTTCTAAAATTTTTAAAGTACCTAAAACAACATTATTTTGTTAGCTAAAAAGTAAACACTGTAAATCAGTAGGGCGCCCTAGCATTGATGAGCAACTTTGTTTTGAAAATCATTTACTTTATTCAAGTGACAAAGGTATACCAGTTGGAATTAACAATTTTGTAAACTGTTGTATATATTGAATTTAATGAATACAATTTGAATTTTGAATACAATTAGAATTAATGATTTTATAAACTGTTGTATATCTTTTTCTTTATCATTTCGATGATAATGGAAAAGATATACAATAGTTTAAAGATAACCAACCAGGTTGGGAGTGGTGTAGACTTTATCTTGACAGACATCTATCATTAAAAGAAAAAGTATCTCATTGTATTTGAAGGAAACGTGCACAGGTTAATTATTGTCAAGTAGAATTATTTTTTCAAAATCTAGAAAAGGAACTTTTTTTTTTTTTTTTTTTTTATGTTGATTTAGGTGCCCCAAGAAGTCCTTACGGTCTTATCACAGAGCACCGCGGAAGAGCATTTAATAGGAAGTTCACGCCTCCTTCCCAACCGATGTTGCAAAACTTGTCCAGAGGTGGGGTTTGAACCACGGATCTTACGTTTCTGAGGCAAGAGCGCTACCACTGCGCCACGGCTGCTCTATTAAATGGAATAACACCAGATAACATTTATAACACGGATGAAACAGGGTTTCATGACGACTCTGGAAAAAAAATTATTTTTCGTCGATCCTCTTGCCATCCAGAACTTATAAGAAACACTACAAAATCTTGTTACATTGTTGTTTTTTGTGGAAATGCCTCAGGAAAGCTAATTCCACCATTTTTCATTTTTAAAGGAAAACACAGTTGGTCTGAATGGCTTTTTAATGCACCAGAAGAATCGAGAATGGGAACTTCTTGCAGTGGCTGGATGGAAATTCAAATACTTGAAGAGTGGCTGTTATATCACTTTGTTCCAAATATTATGAATAAAGAAGGTAAAAAAATTCTGATTTGTGAGAATTTAAGTGCTCATATATCTTTAAAAGCCTTAAATATATGTGAAAAGCATAATATAACATTTATATGTTTGGTACCCAATTCCACACACCTTTCACAACCTCTAGACGTTGGGTATTTCTCGAGTTTAAAAGCTAATTGGAGGTCAGTTCTTAACCAATGGCGTAAAACATCTCATGGGAAAAATGTTAATAACCTACCAAAAAATTGTTTTCGCAGCTCATTAAATCTACTCTTAATGTTGGTAAAGAAAATCTAGAACATAATCTACAAGTAGGATTTAAGACTACTGGCATATATCCATTCAATCCTGAACATGTTCTCTCGAAATTACCCAGTTTTACAAATATAGATATTTATCTCAACATTGAAGAATCGTTTAGGAAATATGTTGATAAAATTCATACATCTAATCTTAATTATGAAGTAAGCAAAAAGTTCAAGTTACCAATAACAGCAGGTAAAAGTGTATCAGCCACTGAGCTAGAAGCATACTATAAGTTAAGAGACAATAAGAAAAAAAATCAAGATAATATTTGAACAAAGAAAATATTTTTTTTTATTTTCATAATTATATATTTTTTGATCCCACTTGGATCAAAATATATATAATTATGAAAATAAAAAAAAAATGTTTCACAAAGATCAAGCATTGTAGATGTTAATCAAGTTATTAAAGACAATGAGCAAGTTGTATCTCAAAATGATGCAGTTTCTTCATTAGAACAAATAAACAATCACAACTTGTTTTCCATGATCATGATTATTCGATTAAAGAGTTAGTTGTGACTCAAGACTAAAATAATGGACTTAAACACTGTAATATTTAGTTTTATAGTCACAGGTGTTTATTTGTGTAGAATTATATAGAAATGAAGTCTTAATTATTTTTTCTTTCATAACCTTAAAAATTGATCAACAAGTTCATTTAGTGATTTGTAATATTTTATTAAAAAATTTGTTTGTTTATTCTCAATATAGTTTAATTAGATTTTTTTTAAATTAATTTGAGCTAATACAACGAAATTTAAACAACTTTTTAAATTTAACTGATTAAAATTGACATTTAACTTAATAGTGTTCAAAGTTACCCTAAATGCAAGTGAAACTTTGAATCCCTACTTGAACTTTGTTTTTTAACAAAATAACTAGCAAATTTAAAAAAATGATAACAAACTAGAAAAAAGAGAAAAAACACTTTTAATGTAAAAATATTTGTTAACTAGTTTGTAAAAAAAATTTTGTTGAGATAAACCTAGCGTAAAGCGTTCAAAGTTACCCGGAATGACTGTATTCGTTTAATAAAACTAAACAAACAACAAGAAGTTGGTGATGTCAGCAGTAATGTTGTAATTAAAAGTGTGCACTGTATAAAAAAAAATTGTTGTATTTGTTAACTTAAACTTGCAAGGCTATTAGATTTTAAATTTGGAAACCTCCAAAAATCATGCAACGCTAAATTTTTTTTAAAAACAGAAGTAGCAGATCTTGAGCTCATTTACGCGACGATTTTCATTAAACTTAAAATCAATTATTATTTTTTATTCAATTTGAGACTCCGCTAGGGAAAATTTTTAATGTTGTTTTGATTATTAGTGAAACTTGGCGTTGCGTAATTCATGGTCCCTGATGATGATGACCAATATTTCTAATTACAGGGCCGACGACACCGGGGGCCATGGAGCATGTGCTACTTTTTTTCTTAGGATCTTTTTTTTTATTTTGTTTTTTTGTATATATAAGAAAGTTGTAGATATAGAAGACGTTTTTTAAGAATTGACAATTGTACCCCCACCCCCACCCGCTTCGAAACCCGTGTCGTCGGCCCTGAATTATTGACCTAACTCCGTTTATTATTTATTTATTTTTTGATTTTTCAGAAAACTAAAACGCATCATGTAAAACTTGTTGTTTTCATTTTGAAAAAAAAAATAATAATTCCACCAAAAACATAATAAAAAATTCTGATGTCGAGCAAACAGCGTTTTTCCTATAGCATTTCCTATTTTGATTTTAAATATGCAACTCGTTTTTCAACGTTGTAAAAAATATTTGGGTTCGAATCTATACCATTTAGGGTAACATTTTTAATATTGTCAAAAAAAAAATTATTTAAAAGCATGTCAACCTGGTTCTCAAAAGTAGCGTATTTTTACAGAGATTTTTTTTTAAATATTCGTTCGCAGGATCGGACTGGCGAGGGGGTTTGGGGCTACCCCAGGCCTCTGCTATGTTTGGGCCCTTCTCTATCTCTGGGCTCTTAAAAAAAGTACCTAAAATGACAAAATAAAATAAAAATATTTTTTAGGGAAACTTTTATATATAAGGCAGCCCTGCATCTATGTTTCCTCCCCGATTTAAATAGGGATGTACGGCCGGATTTTTAAGATCAATTTGCTTCTGGCTGATATTATTTTTTTTTTTTTTTTTACTTCTTGTTTATTACATGTGAGACAAATTAAAAAATCATTATCCTACAAAGCAATAAAGAACTATAGGTAAACCTAGGTAAAAAATACGAATGTAGTTTTATTTGCAGAAATAGTAGTACTGCAAATACATTTGCAAAAATTACATTTATACTCCTTACCTCGATTTACCTATAGATTTTCATCGCTCTGATTTTTTGATTTACGTAAAAAAAAAAAATTTATTATTGCCAGAAACGAATTGATTTAAAAAAAAAAAAAATCCGGCCGGAATTACGGTATATTCCTAGTTAAAACAAAACACCATGCAGGTTATTAAACATCTCATCTTATTTATGTTATTTATTTATGTTATTTTTTAATTTTTTAAAGGAAAAAAGTATACTTTATACTGATGTGCTTTATAGATCTAAGAAAAGCGTTTTATGGAATTGATTAAAATATCTTATTTGAACAACTAGAAAAAGATACTTGTCTAATGGAAGGCAATGTTTCACTCATCAATGAAAAAACTATTAGCATGACAATAACACTTATATGCAATATATAATTTAGATATTCAAGGAACTATGGAAGTCTACTTTTTTTTTAAATATAAATTAACGAATTAAATAGAGTTTTAATATTTTAGATATTATGTTAATTGCTGAGGAGATTTTGAAAATTTTTATTTTTTCCTGTAAAAAAAACTAAAACTTTTAACTAACTATAATGTTTAAATAAACTAAATAAATTAATGATAGTTAAAGATTAGACATGAATTTTAAAAAGTTTAAACCAAAGTTTTCAAGTCTTTTTTCAGAGTCTTCGCCCCAAAGCTAAAATGTTTAATCAGTTCTAATGCGCGAAAAGTTTTGCGCGGGAATTACATATCCGCCTTAAACCGCTTTTAACTCCTTCGGCCATATTCGATTTTGGATATTGCTTTAAAACTCTTGAGTCCTTGGAGTAATCGTTGCCAATCCTTGGAATCTTTACTGTTTATTAAAAATATATTTGTAAAATGTCTACAGGAGCAAAGCAAGAACCTGTCGCTACCTTTAAGGTGATAAGATTTGATTAAACTGATACAGTTAACGATTTTGTTAATTTCAAAGTTGGATTTAGGGCGTGCATTAATGTGAAATAAATATATGCTATTCATCGTTTAGTTTTTATAAAATAATAAATAAGCTAAACTCGATACTTTATTTTCAATAGCAAATTTAGAGTAAATGAATTTTTATGTTACAAGTTTATTTAACTATCAAATTTAAGAGCAAAATTATAGCAAACATAAATTCTTTGTAAACATTAACATTATTGAAAGTATAATAAAATTATACTTTATTATACTTTAAATAACTTTAATTTTGTTATTATAAAGTTTTTTATATCTATGATATATATATATATATATATATATATATATATATATATATATATATATATATATATATATATATATATATACACACGTATGTGGTTGATAATATGAAAGAATTCAATAAAAAAGTGTATGTTGTATGAAATTAGTGAGTTTTTAAGGAATGTTTTTGTTTTTATATAAAAAGGTTAAATTTTAATGGCGTAAACTTAAAATTAAATTAACTTAAAATGATTCAGGAGTTTTTGATTAATATGAATTGTTTAACTTATGTCATGCTTCAAACCAAATTTTAACTTGAATTTCTTATTATCTTGAAGATAGATAGATTTGATTTTGTTTTTATTATTTTCATTTCAATTTTTTACCATAGCTGGTGCTTGTTGGTGATGGTGGTACTGGTAAAACTACATTTGTTAAACGTCACTTGACTGGTGAATTCGAAAAAAAGTATATTGGTAAGATTTATTTTAAAAAACTTTAAATATGTTGCCTAAAAATATAGACATTTCAAATTCATCAAGTTTTCTTTATATTATTAAAATAAAAATTGTGTGAATAAAGTTAATATAAATATTTTTCTGTGTAAAGAATGAAACGTGATTTATAAGTAATTTATAAGAGGGTTTTATATAAGTAGAACAAGTGTTGACAGGGGAGAAAGTAATACTGTTCGTGCTAAAGCACAAGCAGTACTACTTTCAGTTGCTGAATTTCAGTGGTACTTACTACAGTAATCAATACAGTAATATGATTTTTAACAGAACTAATTAAAAGTTTTTTAATAAGTAAAATTTTTATACTTGCTTCAAGATAAAGGTTATCAGCTACTGTCCCAATAATTTGAGATAATTGAGAAATTAATTTGAGATAATGCACAGTTGAGGCACATTGATTTTGTACAGCTGGTCTGAACAACAGAATAAGATGTATACATCCTTAAGCTAGATAAAAAAGTCAAAATACCTATTAGAATGTATAAGAGCATAATTAAAATGTATTTTTATATTTGATAAATTAAACATTAAACAACTAGATTATTCTGTAGTTCCCTTGTATACCATCTCTTGTAAACTGATTGATAATAACAGTATAAGAATGATAATAACAAAATAAACAGTTATTGTGGCGAAGCCAATTTTTGTTTTAACTATTTTTTTAATCCTTGAAAATAGATCAGTTTTTTTACTATCAACATGCAAAGTTATAAATATCAAGGTATTTTGTAAAAGTTAATATATAAAATTTTTATAAAATGAATTTAGAATAATACATATTAACTGTTTTTTATTTTATTTTATTTTTTCAATTTAAATTGAAGTATAAAACTTGTTTGTATTAAATGTAACAATTTATGTTTTAATTTAAAAAAAAAAAACATATAGATTGTTACAACTGCTCTGTAGCTCTTTGTGCAATAAAAACCTTGATGTTATAAATCTGAGTTTATAATGAAAAGTTTTTTGTAACAATGAAGTAGAATTGACAAATCTATACAATAATAAACAGTAATTTTGTATATATAATAAATATATAATAGTAATAAATAAATAATTTTGTATAATAAATAGTAATAAATAAATAATTTTGTATAATAAATAGTAATAAATAATAATAATAAATATATATAACAATAATAAATAGTAATATATATATATATATATATATATATATATAATAATAAATATATATAACAATAATAAATAGTAATAAATAAATAATTTTGTCTATTGCGGGACAGTTTTATGTTATTGTCTTGAAATATATTATTGTAGTTTTAGTTGTTCTTTTGTTAAATATGCTTTATAATGATTGTAAAGTAAAATATTTACAAAACTAAATTTTATTAGCTAATTGTTATCTGTTATAGATCTCCTTATATTTATAGTAATTTGTTAGACTAGTTATCTACCCTTTGTCTATCGTGCAGTATTTTATCATTCTCATCTGATAAAATACTGCACGATAGACATCTAGTTAATATAATATTTCATTGGTCAAACCGCTTACATACAAATTGTCTTTAACACACTTACCTCCTTTTTTTATGCATTTATATTTTTTTATTATATAAAATTTTAAAAACTTTAATTTTAAAACTATTTTAGTTTTAATTCCAAAAATTTTGTTAAAAATAAGTTGTACTGGTTGTAAGAACTTTTTTTTTTTTTTTTTTTTTTTTTTTTTAACTTTCTAAACTTAGTAAAAATATATTTTAAAACTTTAATTATAAAGCAAATATTCATTTTATCGATTTACGTGATTATGAACTTATTGTTATACTGTTTGTTTTTTAAAAAAGTTAATATTTCAAATTTTTTTAGCCACACTTGGTGTTGAGGTTCATCCTTTGATGTTTTATACAAACTATGGTCCAATTCAGTTTAACTGTTGGGATACTGCAGGTCAAGAAAAATTTGGAGGGTTACGAGACGGATATTATATACAAGGACAATGTGCTATTATAATGTTTGATGTTACTTCTCGTGTTACATACAAAAATGTTCCAAACTGGCATAGAGATTTGATTAGAGTTTGTGAAAATATTCCAATTGTTCTCTGTGGAAACAAAGTCGATGTCAAAGAGCGAAAAGTTAAAGCTAAAACAATCACATTTCACAGAAAGAAAAATTTACAGGTATATGTTTAAATAGCTTAGACAAGAAATATTTGCTTTTCCTACTTGAATTTTATAAGGATTTCGGATCTTCATATTTATTTATTTATTTTTAGTATTATGACATCAGTGCAAAAAGCAATTACAATTTCGAAAAGCCTTTTCTTTGGTTAGCGCGTAAACTTTGCGGTGAAACAGAACTTGAATTTGTTGAAATGCCTGCTCTACAACCACCTGAGGTCAATATTGATCCTACAATGAAAGCCCAATTTGAGAAGGAGCTTGCTGAAGCTCAAAGCGCAGAATTACCAGATGATGGCGATGACGGTGACTACTAAAGTTTATCAGCGATTCAAACTATTTTCAAGAGATTAAGCAGATCTCACTTTCAAATATGAAATTTTAATTATTTTCATTATTTTCTTCAGTGTGAGTATCTTTGAATATTAGAATTTTTTAAGTTATATAGATCTAAAAATTTGGCGTGTGTTACTAAAGGGCCGAAGAAAAAAATTTCGATTATATAACATCTTTTAGATGTATCATTTATGTAGATAGATTGTGATGATTTGTACAGTCTGAAATTCATATTTGTAAGCTAACTGCGATTTTCCTTTTCAATAGAATGCATCGAATGTTGAGATTAGTTTCTTTATTATAGTAAAGAATTTTATTCATTTGAAAACTTAATAAAAATGAAAAACAATTGCACATATTAGCTGAATTAGACTTATGAGTAAAAAAAAATTCTTTTCTTTTTTTTTTTTTTTCTCTTTTTTTTTTTTTTTTATTTTATCTTCCCTGATACTGATGCGAATTGCTTTTAAATTATTTTGTAATTTTTTTTTTTTTTTAACATTTTCTTTGCTTTACGCAAGGGTTTAATTTATAAATACTATATAATAGTCAACATACGCAGTTAAGGCGAATTAGTAAAATTTAAATTTTTCTTAGACAACCATTAACTAAGGTTTTAACTTTTTTAAATTAATTAAGGTTTAACTAAAAGTAAATGTAAATTTATTGTTGAACTTCTGCTTGAATTTAAAAGTAAAACGTCCTTAGATAAATTAATCTCGAAATTAAATAATGTAACAAATCTTAAGCCATATTATAATTTAAAAGAAGGCATTCAACATTAAGAAATATTAAGGAACATCTTGGTTGTTTAAACTAAGAAGCACCAACGGTAATTTTTCATCTAACGTTTCTAAAATATATCGTACTTGAATAACCTTAAAACTTTCGATCTAATGACACTCATTACTCGAAAATGTTTGAAAATTTGAACATGAGTTCTTTAATGTATTTAAAATGTTGTCTGTAGAACAGATTTTCTGAAACATTTTCATTTTTACCAGGTTGACATTCAAATTTTAAGTAATAAAAGTTAAAGGAAGTTTAGGACCGAAGCATGATAAAAATGAGTTTTAAAATAAAAATTCAAAAATTTTACTTCATATGCCACATTCCTAATATGATCATCTTTTAACCTGCAAAATTTCAGTTTTTTCTATTTTCTATAAAGAATATTTTTTCTGAGAAATTGCAATTAAGCGACAAACAATTTTTAAAAAGTAATATATTATCATAATTATATGGTAACGAAAGTTAAACATAATCTTAAAGCTGTATATAATATTTAAGAAGTCAAACGTCTTGAGCATTGTTTAGTAAAAATTTTAAGTCAATTGCTTTCTTTTGGTTTAAAAGATATTGAAGAAAAACTAAGAAGCTTTTCGACTTTTTGCATAACGCATATGGAAAGGTAGATTTAAGAATTTATAACACTCAGTTTAGTATTTTTCAAAATTTTACCAAAAATTGCCATTTTTAACCCTGGTACCAACTTAAAGGGTAAGCCCCCCCCCCCCCCTTTCCTAAACATTTTAAACAAAGTCAAAAATATAAAACATCAATATAATATAAATAAAACAAATCCTTGAAAGAAAGTACATGTTTTTGGTTGCCTTAGTAACCACAAAAAACATAAAAATGGCAAAAAATTCATTCACACCGGCCGTAAAAACTAAAAAACCGTGCAAGATCTCTCAAAAAGCTTTCACCAAATGCTTCACAAAAGGTCAAAGAGTATTTTAATAGCAGCATTTTCCTGTAACTAGAAATCTGAGCTATGTGCGCACATTTAAAGATAGTGAAAATATTTTTTATTTAAAATAAAAAAATCTGAACCTCAATTTAAAAAAATTGTTTGTATTAAACCATAGTTTATAATCATAGAAACAACTCCAGAACATTTCATCAAAATTGGTAAAACGAGATGAACGGCCGGTGTGTAAAAAAAGATTATTTTGAGAAAACGCAAAAAGGAAAAAAATTTGGCACATAAAACTTTAAGTAAAACACATGTTATTTTACGTAAGAGTCGTATTGTAAAACGAGTTCAAATTATTATAATTAAAATATTATATACAAATATGCAATAAACACAAGAAAGATATTGTAGATCACAGCTAGTAGTAGAACAGTTGCTCGAGTCCGTTGATGTTTGATAGGTTACTCCAAGAGAGCGAGACTTCAATAAGCACGCTATTTATAAACATATTCCCAAGGGGGGCATTAATTGTTTAGTATAATCAGCCAATCCAAATGATTTACGTTTACAATAACTTGATTAGCGCAACAACACATACTCTAGTGAAAATATCTAATAAAAAGTATTAGAAACCTTCTGCTTCATACAACTTCTCTTCTTTTTCTTTTTCTTTATATCTTTTATTTTTTTTGCCACAAATAATTTTTCGTCGCAACTTGTTATCAATATTTCTGTATTTGGAATGGGACAGTCGTTTATAGTTTAAATTTTTACAACCTTTAAGAGTATATACTCCTGGAATTATGTCCAAAGGTTCATAAACTAAAATCGAGGCTTTTCGACCAATGTTAAAATTAGCCACTGCATCATAAACTCCAAATTCTAATTGACTGAATGATATAAATTTCGTTTTAGGTCAACGCTCCTAAATGGTACCATTAAAACTTTTATTAGTATTTTGTGTCTTACCATGTAAGCACTTTTTCAAATGTTGGTCAGCACTGAGTTCTGCAAAGTTTGGTCTGATTTTATAAACAATAGCTGACCTGGTCCTGGTAACCTGGTCCTAGTAAATAGCAGTAAACCTGGTTCAGGTTTATTAGTGTTTGTACCTTTATCTGAATTATATTTGCACCAACTATCAGCTCCTACTGGGCAATGTGGAAAATATAGATTATTCTCCTTGTTGAGGGCAACTTGATAAAGTGATACCAGAGTAACAGTTTTCATAGGTGCTAAATCTCCTACATTAGCTCTAATTGCAATACCAAAATAACTTTGCAACCGATCAGTTATCGCATCTGTTAACTTACCACCAGGTTTTTTTGTTTTTTTCTTCAACCGTCTTAATCTTGTACCTATACGTTTTTGATAATGTCTGACACACTCAAGTTTTTTTACTTCCAAACCAGGGTAGACATTTATAACATTTAAATAGTTATTACTGTCCCCATCACCTAAATAGTTTACATAGCGAAGCATGCGTTCTGTAATAGAACGTTCAAATAATTTTTTCATAACAATTGGATATATACCCCAAGCAGATCCTTTGTAGTCATATGCACCTTTATGAATGTTTCTTCACTTAGTAAAATGTAAAGGGTCTTTTTTGGTTCCATTAAAATACAAACTTTACAAACACTACTCATAGGTTCTACGTCCATTACCTTTCCACTATTAATAGATATTGCAGTTGTTACGCCATTATATGATGAAAATCTCGTCGTTGCCATGTCCTATCACATGAAACATCAGTATCAACAATATCAGTATTCGAGTCATGTCTTATTTCCGCAGCAGCATCGCACACAGTTTCTAATGCTACTTTTTTCACAACTTTAGAGATTGTTTTAGTAAGCTTGTCATAGTTATTTCTAGTCATTGGCGGAGGAATATTCATTAAAGAAGTGAATTTTTTAAGTCCTGCGTGACCATGGCCCAACGTATAAATAGCTCGCTTATTTATGTTGTATCCCTGCTTACCTCTTTTTTTTTTAAGTAAAAAAATTTTTACGAAATAAACAATCTGAACATTTTTAAACTAAAAAAGGGACAAGTCCATATCGATCTTTTAAATTTTCAGACAACACAAGAGAGTCTTTATTGAAGCACATTGGACAAATGAGTTCTATAAAAATAACAGATAACACTTCTACATCTATAACTCTATATCCAGACAGTAGAGTATTTTAAGAAGATTCAACTTCATCAATTTGTCGTATGTTTGAATGTAATGCTGGAATATATACAATATTATCAGAAGCGTCATTTTTATTTTCATCAATCAGACAGTGAATCACAGTGTCATTATTAATTAAAATATTTAAAATTGGAGTAAATTCTTTATTTACATTATTATCAACAACTTCTTCTTCATAAATTAATGATTTTTTAACTGGAAAAGATCTACACCTTTTCCTAGCAAGATTAGTTTGACGTTTTACTCTACAACTTTTTGGCATTCTTGTTAAATTAAATAACATTAATCTGAGTGTGTTTTTGTCTCCTAATCTCGCTTACTTTTGCTTAGCTGAACAAGAAGTATAATAGAATGAAGCATCCTAATCTCGCTTACTTTTGCTTACTGAACAAGAAGTATAATAGAATGAAGCATCCTAATCCAAGTTTTTACATCAGCTTTTTATTATTTTCTTTTTTCAAATACGACAAAAAAGTTTACACTTTCGATATATCGAAACATCAACTCACCATTAAAAAACCTAAAACTTCTGCACTTTAAAATGATTTTTATGAAAAAAAAATTACATAAATAAAATCTATGGTAATTTTTATGTCTAAAAAAGGTCATTCTATATTTTTGTTTTTTTAATGATTTTAGGGGGAGTTTCCCCCTTAAGGGGGTAACCACAGAAATAAATCTAAAATAGAGGCTCTATAAAAAAGTCAGTTTTTATTATGATGTAATATATTTATATTGTAAATATATGTAATATATATTATACTTTTTCCAATCAAAATCAATTTTAAATATTTATTAATTATTCAAAATGGCGAATATAAACCCTAAAATAAGGGGTAAAAATAGAAAATTCAAAATTAAATTTCTTAAGTTATAATTTTCAAGTGAATTAGAAACTTTGCACACTTGTTCTGATAATAAATGTGCTCTATTAAACCGTTTAATGTACATGTATATATACATATATATATATATATATATATATATATATATATATATATATATATATATATATATATATATATATATATATATATATATATATATATATATATATATATATATATATATATATATATATATATATATATATATATATATATATATATATATATATATATATATATATATATGTATATATACATATACACATATACACATACATACATACACACATACATATATACACATACATATATATATATATACACACACACACACACACATACATACATATATACACATACACGTACATACATATATAAATACACACATACACACACACACATATATATATATATATATATATATATATATATATATATATATATATATATATATATATATATATATATATATATATATATATATATATATATATATATATATATATATATATATATATATATATACATACACATACACATATACATACACACATAAATTATACTCATACATATATATATACATACACATATATACATACATACATATACACATATACATATATACATATGTACACACATACACACATACATACACACATATACATACATGCATACACATACATATTTTTATTTATTTTTTTATTATTTTTTTTTTTTATTATTTTATTTTTTATTTTTTTTACTTTTTATAATTTTTTTTTTTTTTTTTAATTTATTATAATCATTTTTATAAACGAAGAATATGCAGCTTTACTTGCCGTTTAAACGACGATATTCCATTTAAGTCTTTTAATTTTTGATTTTTTAAGTTTATCCATTTTTTAGGACCCTGTGGCATAATTGAAAATTCAGAACCCCGGGTTTTAGTTTTTTTAATATAATAATTATGGAAGCTATTTGATCGCAGGTACTACCCAACAATAAAACCTCTAAAATATAATTTTAGCTTATAAAACCCCCCAGATACCTATATACCATTGAAAAGAGCATCAAATTTTTCACCAACTAGAATTAGAAATTAAAATTTGATTTTTTTTCACAGCTATCTTTCACTATCGACGTATTATGTAAAGACGTCGCAAAAATTTGTGAAAATCATCTCTATGCATATACTTAAGACCTAGTACAAACATTTTCTGAGAAAATATTTTTTTTACCATTTTACCTGGTTTTTCCACGCCTCCATTCCATGCCTATGTGTTATGAGAGACATGAATAGTAATCTTTGATAAATGTTTAGTTTATAAATATTTAAAGCCTTGAAACAATCTAATAGTGGTTTGCAACACACAGTTCTGTTTGCCCCTAATCCTACAAGCATGCTTTTGTTTACTATAAAATTTTTTGAGTTTTCCGTAATTTGTACTATCCCATAGAATATTACAATAAGAAAGATAGCTGTGAATAAATGAAAAATAAACTTTTGTTATAGCATTAAAAATTGTACATTATAAAATCGCTAAAAAAAAACAAAAATAATTACAAATAAAAAAACTATTAAACGAAAATCACAATGTCGTCATAAAGTGTTCCATAACTTTCCACAATAACATTAAAAGTGGTTTTAACAAGACCTAAATGATTAAAAGTCTAAAGCCGTTCTTTATGCGTCTTCTTCAGTTTTTTTTTCTTCAGTCTTGGAAAGGAATTACTTGGAAAGGAATTAAGAAAATCATATGCGTTAATTCTACTTTTATAAAATATTTGGTATGAAATAAATATATTGTTTCAAAGCATACCACTGTTACTAGTATATTTATTAATTATTTTACTACTATTTATAATAAGCTATTCAAAAAAAAGTTTTGACAATTATTTAAAACGCATAAATCTTATTCTTTTTTTATTGATTGGGTGACAGAAAAAAGATGTATCCAATTTCATAAAAGATATTCCTAAAAAAAAATTGTGGTCTTGATTTTTTTACATTTCTTACATTTCTTCTGATTCCCTTTCCTACATTTTTTTTTTCCTACATTCCCTTTTCTTTCCTACATTCCGTTTCCTACATTTTTTTCTTACATTTCTTCTGATTCCCTTTCCTACATTTCTTCTGATTTCCTTTTTTCTTTAAAAAAAGTCTTAGTTTTAATAATCTTTAAATTTTTTCTTAAAGCTGATTCCTTTTTTTATTAAAAAAAAAAAAATCTCGCTCTCGATATTTAATACATTTATTCTCTTACAGAAATACATTTAACAAAATACAATTTACATTGAACTAAAACAATTCTAAACATAACTGGAGATGTGCATTACTAAATTAAGGGGATATGGGCTAAATTTTGGGTTCTTTGATTTTAAATAAATTACTTTTTTTAAAAAGAAACTCTGAAAATAATATATTTGATTAATGACACGCAAAAGGGTCCTCCTGCTTTAAAATAATCCCGGGCCCCGAAAAGTTATTATCCGCCTCTGTAAATTCGAAATATACTTGTTAGGAATATTAATTTATAAATAGGAAGATTGACGATAAAGTAATTTACAAAAAACAAAGCTTGTTCAACAACAAATTTTTTGAGAAGAAAAAGTTAGTAAAAGATAAATTTCTATTTTCATCAGAAAATGTTTAACTTTTTTATCCATAGAAATGGTTTACAACAGGTACGGTTTCTCCAAAAGATTTTCGTTTTGTTTGTTTTTTTCTCGAAACGGGTGAAAAAAGTAATTGAAGCGCGTTTAAAATGATTAGCTCATATCTCACGCTCGTTTTATCTTTGCATTTTTTTTGTTGAAACAAGTTATTTAAATATTGTCAAATAAGCCATGAATATTCTACCAAATTTTCAAAGTACACCACTAAAGGTATTTAAAATGCATTATATTTTTTAGACTATAACTTTCGTTTATTTGCTATACGTATTAATACGCTAAACTACATAAGTAATGCTTAAAACTAAATAGCTCATAAATATAATCCAAATAGCTCATAAATATAATCCAAATAGCTCATAATAGGGAGAAGATAAATTAGAAGATTCTAAGACTGGTAGAATTATCAATAACGGTAAAGGATCTGACATACCCTTTATATATTCTTCTGCTGGGAGGGAATATTTAAATTTAATTAAACAAAACAGTGAAGAAGATTGTGCAATCAAATTTACAGCAAATTCAATGGTAATGACTTTTTATTATAATTAGCTTTTTGTTTTTTAGTTTTTTTATTATTACTTACATGCTACATGTAAACTGAAAGTAATTTTATAGCCTCAAAATGGGTTAAATGAGCAAAATACAATTTATCAACAAAGAAAAGAATTGCAACTTATGATACAAGAACTGAAGATTAGAGATAAGTATGTACACAAGTTTTAAAATAATGAAGTAAAAAAATAATGTCTAAATAAAAATATAATTAGCATAAAATTTAATGAAAAATAGAAATACCACTAATGTTTAGTTAATAATTTTAATTTTTTCAATTCATGTATTTTTACTTTAGAGAATTAAATGACATGGTACACTCACATCATAAGCAGCTTATCTCGTGGGAGATGGATAAAAAACATGTATGTTTTTCAATTCTTTATTATTTAATTATAACAACAGCAACAATAATAATAATAATAATGATAATAATAATAATAATAATAGTAATAATAATAATAATAATAATATTATTATTATTATTATTATTGTTGTTGTTATTATTATTATTATTATTACTATTATTATTATTATTATTATTATTATTATTATTATTATTATTATTATTATTATTATTATTATTATTATTATTAGTATAATTTATTGTATAATTTTATACAGTCACCGTCAGTATAGACTTTAGTCCGCTTTTCATATTCTTAATTTTTAAGTTATTTGCGTTTCTTGTGAAACAATTATGTACTTAACTGTTTTTATACAAAATATTTGGAAAACATCCATTTTTTTTGGAAAACATCCATTTTTTTCGCTTGAATATTTTCTTTTGCAGATAGCCAAGTCTAATCAACATATTTTATTATGTGCAAATAATTCACATTTGTTTTCACAGTTCTCAATATTTTGTAACTTCTTCAGTATTTGAACATCATTTTCTTTAGCATCTAAGAATAACGAAAGTATTCAAAATTAGGTCCAATAACTATTAAAAATTGTTTTTTTGCGCATAGTCAAATATTTGGCAGTTCTCGTAACTAGTTGTCTGGTTATCTTATTAGATATCCTGACATTATTTCTTTGTATTAACCAGATAATAAGAGATAACAAAAAAGTTATTTATCATTGTTATAAAAAATAAATAAAAAATATAAACTATTATTTAACATAATATTCTACAACTACTTATTTGAGACAACTTCGTGTAATTTCGCTTTCACAGGCAACTTTAAAAGCTGGTTCATCAGCTGAATCATGCATTTATATTATTTAATTAATATCACAATTATTGTTTTTATACTTTAACTTTTTTTGAGATTAAATTTTATACAAAAGAAATCAAGTAAGGCAATAAAAAAACAAAAATACATATCAATCTATTCATAATGCAGGAAAAATTGTTTACGATAATATTAAATTAATTACATATGTAAAGAAAGAAGTAACGACCACACTATATTAAAAGTGTACTGACTATATTTTTTGTTTACAAAATTAATGATACTAATGTTTAAAATATTTTTAAATGAAGTATCTAGGGGTTTTTTAAAAAACAACAATAGATCTTAAACATAATAACAGGCAAACTTTTCCATGAGTTAATAACTCTCAAACTGAAAAAGTATTTTTGATTTGCTATAAATTTTATATAATGATTACAGCTATTACTAGTAGTTGTAATTTAACCCAACCCTGTTATTTAGTTCAGTATGTGTTGAAGCAAACTGTGTTAAGAGGTAAACAGATTCTATCTGCTTAAGGGATTTTATCTGCTATCTCATTTACCTTCTTTACTTGACTTATGTTTCTAATCCTAGTTGTTGCTCAGTTTCTCCTCATTCATTCTTAGGTGCTTCTGATCACAGTTTGATCACTCTAAAACTATTATCTTATTCTTCATCATTAGAATTCCCCTATCATCATTCCTCTTACATCTACCTTAAAGCTGACTGGGACTCTTTCATGATTTTCTTTGTGATGGAAAAACGCATTGTAAACATATTTGGACCTGCTCTTGCAGCCGACCTTCAACCATTATCACATTGTCGTAATGATGCTTCTCTTTCTCTTTTCTATAAATACTATAATGGGCACTGCTCTAAAGAGCTAGCGTCTCTTGTGCCATCTACTAAAATTCATTCTTATGTTACTTGTCGTTCAATTAAGCCTTATCTTTTTACTGTGACTGTTCCTAAGTGTTCCAAAAATTCTTATTCACCTAGTTTTTTTCCACAAACATCAGTTCTTTGGAATTTGTTTTCTTTATCTTGTTTTCCTGATTCATATGATTTGCAATCTTTTAAGTTGTTTGTCAATCGTTATCTTGCTCTATAAACTTCCGTTTTTTTTCTTCCAGTAACTTCCAACTCTAATAGTGGTTGCTTGCAGCCTTATTGAAAGCCTAGTTTGAAGTGAAAATGTTGAAAAAAATAGTGTATTAGTTAACTTTAGTTATTTTTTAGATTTTGTTGTTTAGATTTAGTTATTAGTTAGATGCTTTTTTATTTTTGTAAATTTAAAGTTTTTTCATTTTCTTATTTTTAAATAATTTGTTTGATTTTTTTTAGATGCGTTTTTTAGAAAAAGAATTATCAAAAAATAAAAGTAGGTGAAAAAAAAAATTTTTTTTTTTAACGTTTTATTTGATTTAACTTTTTAATCTTTTAAACAATTAAATGAATTAAAATATTTTAATCTTATTTAACAACCTTAAATACCAATCTACTATATAGTTACCATAATTCTACTTACATAAGAAATCTTTTTTATCATTTAAAACACAGTTATCATTCAAACACTAAATACGAAATTCAAAGAAAATTTTTATGAATTTTTTTAAGGAATTCTTGTTTCCTATAAATATTACTAAGGACTGATGAGTATTTGTTAAAATTTGGGTTACAAAGTTTACTGATAAGCGAAGATGACTTTATTGTCAAATTTGAAAGTTCAGCTTTCAGTTAAACTAGTTAAAATTGATCTAAATGTGCTTAAAAATGTGCTTGAAAATGTGTTTAAAAATGTGCTTATGGGGTTTAATTGGCAGCAGAATTATTTCAAAGTTATAACAACACTTATGTTAACATAGCATTTCAAAAAATAGGGAAAAAAGCTAAAAGTTTTGATATTACTTTGATATTAATTATTAATAGGATTTAAATGTTCTATAAAATGTGACAAAGAGTCCCATAATGTTTTGGAAATGTCCTCAAGTTTAATTTTTAAAAATTTTGTGACCACCATGCATATATGTTATAAATAGAGGTGTCTTACAGAGTCATTAACTTGTCTTATTTAAGTACAAAATCTTATTTATCACTTATTAAATCCTATTGCTTTCCAAAAATCATCAAGGTAAAAACAGGAGAATATTTAGAAAAGTATTCTTCCAGGTCTGTTGAATGAATTTTGTTAATGTACTTTTGTTAACGTTTTTTTTTTTTTTTTTAATTTATTAGTAAAGACAGCCCGGTGTAGTAAAGGCAATTTTAAAATATTATAGTGTCTGTATGATATTTTGTAGATTACAAAATATTTTTGTTAAATAATCAGATATGTGAATTATTAAAATACAATAAATTGATAAATTTTGTGGTGTCATAAAATATAAAAGTTAATCGCAAAAAAATCCAGATCAAAGATTCTTTTTTTAAAAAAAAAATCTTCCTAAAATTACAATCGCTTGTCCAAATTTTAATTAGATTTCAAATAAATACATTTTTTAGGTGAAATGAACATTATAGTTTAACAATATGATCTGTTCTGAATGGTTTTTGGCAAATTTTCTTAATTATAAGCTCTTTCTTGGTCAGAATTGTAGTATTTTTATGAAAGTTGATAGAAATATTGTGTTTTGACAACTATATATATTTAATATTCGTCAGGACCGATTAGAAATAAGATCAATAGTAAATTAAGGAACTTTTTCAGAAGATTTTAACTAATTTCATGTTAACCCCAATGAGCGGAATTGATTTAAAGATTTCAAAATGGTATTCTTTAGATTTACTATTACATGTAGTAAAAAGGTTTTGAAAATTATACAAAAAAAAGAAAACTTTTTTTAAATATTAAAAAAACCTGAAAAAACCAAAAAAATTATACCATCTTCACCTCCTCAAGGCCGAGAAGGCCACTACAGATGAGGAGGCTACTTATTTTGTGGCTATAACCCTCTCTCAACTCTATAACTCCGAAACACGAACCTTGACGAACATGGCCGCTGCGCGGAGAAACGAGTTGAGCGCGGTACTACCAGGGACGTGGTGGAGATTGAACTCGGAACCACTCGTTTATGAAGCGAGCGCTCTACCACTACACCACTACCGCATAACATACAGAATAATAAAGTTAATCAATGGACAGCCTAGACTACAGCAATAAATATCTGAAATTTGCATAAAGCAAAAAAAAAAAAAAAAAAAAAAAAAAATTTGTTTCTGAAATCATTATACTACAAAAAATACAAGTTTTTACAACCTTTTACCTACAAGACTTTTACAATTATGTTTTCTACTATATCATATAACATTTTCATTTTTTCAATCTTCATTCTATATTGTGTTTAAATTTTCTATATTTTCTAGATTGTGTTAAAATTTTAAAAGTATTCACTTTTTTCAGTTGAATTAAAAAGAAGACATGAACAGATAAAGCAGTTACGCGAAAGGTTTGTAAATAACGTTTTTGAAGTTCATAAGTTCAAATTTTTTTATTTATTAACAATAAATTGACTGGTTGGTGCATGGTTTACATGGCTGGTACATAGTTTTCAGGACTTGGTGGTAGCTTTCACAAAGACTGATTTTATCGACAGTTGTATTAGAGTATTATCATGTTGTGGATGCTTCTTCTGTTATATATTTTTAAGGTTACTAATGGAGACCTCCATAAGTAACCTTAAAATATAAAGTTTTTTCATAAATTAATTGTTTTGAGTATTTTTAATAGTGGTAGCCTGCAGCCTTTTTCAAATAAAATTTATTTAAAAAAAAAGGAGTATGCTTGCTTTAAAAAAAAAGGAATATGCTTTAAATTCAAGAAATTATAACTTTCTGAAGAAAACATGATAAATTAACTCTTTTAAACATAATTAATAAATTATTATCAACACCTAATTTTTCTTTTATCAATATTAATCAATTTTTTAAATTTCAAAGTTCATAAGAATTCTGTCTTGATGCTCATAGTTACAGTTATGTATAGTTGCAGTTATGTATAAATACAGTTATGTATAGTTACAGTTATGTATAGTTAAAGTTACAGACTGTTTTCTTTCTGCAAAGTTAGTCTTTTTTTTTCTGCAAAAAAATATGGTTTTTATGTTGATCGATTAGAAACAATTTTTTTTTGGGATTTAGTCTAGTTTAGAAGCTTTTGTTACCTATAAGTCATTTTGATTTTGAAACTATCTATAAACTCTATGGAAACAAAAGTTTTGTAAAAAATTTCAAGTCGGCAATTTTAAGTCTTTTGTGTTATTTTAAGTTTCTTTTAAAAAAGAAGTTAGCACTAATATTAAGTTACTTGGTGTGGTTTACACATGTTTTTATGTCATTTTTTAAATTTGAATTTGGCATCAAGGAGTTTAGGCAGTTTTTTATAAGTTGAAGTCCTTCTAGTCATAAATCTGGTTTGCAGGTCAAGATAGAGTTTGTATTGTTAGTGTTAGCACTTTGAACTATTCTAGGTTTAGGAGCTGCTCCTCATCTTACCCACAACTAAATTAAAGATTTTTTTTTTACTACAGCTTAGAAACCTGCTCCTTAAGATCAATTTAATGTCATAACTTGGACATTTTGAAATTGTTTTAAATGTATATATTTGGCCTCAGATAACTGATGACAGATGACTGATGACAGATGACTTTAAGAAATAAAAGTAATTAAATTTTGTTGGTATGTTAACACAGAATGTTGTTATTTTTAAGATTAAAAGTTTGTGAAAGTGGAGCACAATCGAAATCACATGAGCTAGAAACAACACAGGTTTACTTTTTTCTTATTGTTATAACCTTGTTCTCTTAGGGTTTTATCTTACATTTGAAAAGAAAGGGTCAAAATAAATTTTAAAAACTAAAAGACAGTGTGAAGTTAAAACAAATAAATAAAAGTAAAGCAGTCGTATTGCGCTCAATAAAATTACTGATTAAATTACTAGCAATTGTTTTTATTTAATTCATGGGTTGAAATAAGGCTATCAAACTTTATATTCAGCACATTAGTTTCAGCACATATGTTTCTATTATGTCTTACATCTATATTGTAATTTTTTGTTATAAGTACATTGCCAACTGTTGGTAGCAAAAAGTTATAACCTTAACGTACTCTAACGTACCGGGGTTATAACCCTAACGTACAGGGGTTAGGCATACAAAAAGCTTGTAGCTTATATCATCAAACTTTAAACTGAGTTTGCTTAATGAGCTACATAAATCAAACTAAACACTGCCGAGGGATAGGTTGGGAGTATAAACCATCTCTGCGATTTTGTTTCACAATCAATAATTAGTTTTAATAACTTTCTTTTTTAATGTCTTCAAAATAGTTAAATTTTCAAATTTTCTTAGACTTCTTGTTATTAAATTTTTTTTTTTTTTTTTTTTGCATTAATAATGAGGTATGGACTTTTTTAAATAAATTTCAGCAATAAATTCATTGTTCATTGAAGGACCAAATTTCCGATTTCAAATACTTTCTTACAACATTATCAATTTTGTAGCTTATATCAACAAACTTAAAAATGAGTTTGATCCATGATCTACATAAATAAAAGTAAACACTGCCGAGGGATAGGTTGGGAGTATAAACCATCTCTGCGATTTTGTTTCACAATCAATAACTAGTGTTACTAACTTTCATTTTTAATGTCTTCAAAATTTTAAGGTTTTCAATTCTTAAATTTTCTTAAATTTCTTGTTAATTTTTTTTTGTTTTTTGTTTTTGCATAAATAAAATTTATAATTTTTTTAAATATAAATTTCAGCAATAAATTCATTGTTCATTGCAAGACCAAATTTCCGATTTCAAATACTTTCTTACAACATTATTATCAATTTTGTAGCTTATATAAACAAACTTAAAAATAAGTTTGATCCATGATCTACATAAATAAAAGTAAACACTGCCGAGGGATAGGTTGGGAGTATAAACCATCTCTGCGATTTTGTTTCACAATCAATAATTAATGTTACTAACTTTCATTTTTAATGTCTTTAAAATTTTAAGGTTTTCAATTCTTAAATTTTCTTAAATTTCTTGTTAATTTTTTTTGTTTTTTGTTTTTACATCAATGAAATTTAGACTTTTTTTAAATATAAATTTCAGCAATAAATTCATTGTTCATTGCAGGATCAAATTTCCAATTTTAAATACCTTCTTACAGCATTATTGTCAATTTTGTAGCTTATATCAACAAACTTAAAAATGAGTTTGATCCATGAGCTACATAAATAAAAGTAAACACTGCCGAGGGATAGGTTGGGAGTATAAACCATCTCTGCGATTTTGTTTCACAATCAAAGTTTTGATGAATATTTTATAGTTCTGTTAATAGTATGTAAATGTTAAGCTAAATGTTAAGTTAACATTGTTTTGATCTAGCAGTAGTTATCAAGTAAAACAAAGTCTGTGGCAATGTAGTTCCAAGCTAAATTTAAGTCTGTGTTGTTACGCTATGAATCTATATAAAAAAAAAAGATTTAAAATGTTTTGTTGCATGTTGTTATAAATGTATAGTGTGCATAAGTAATAATGAGATTTAATAATGTGGTTTAATGAAATTGTTTTCAAGTTTTTCTATAGTATACAGTAGGGTGCATCACAACATTAGGAAAAAAAATTAAGTGTTTACTTTTGAGTTGTCTGTGTTTCCATTGTGTTCCATTATGCTAACAGATAAAATGGGTGAAAGATATTTAAAATCAAACAATGTTTTCTCAGTTCTTATGAAAATGTGCAAATTGAAACATGCAAAATGAAAACGTGCAAAAACTAATTATTTTTTAGAAAAAAAAAATTATTTCAAATTTGGAAAGAATCTAAATTGTACTGTTAGTTCATAGAGTAGTTTGATGCTTATTATCATTGCTTAAGCACCATTCATCTTATATAATCACAGTACTTTATTGTTGCAGCGTTTCTGGCTCAGATTTGGAGCATCTCTATGATCTTTTTCGACAACTTGAAGAATTGAAAAAGATGCAAGAGAGCAGGACTTCACCAACATGATAACGATAACCTGACCATAGGAGAGCTTACTGTAACTTATCTTGTATGGCAATGCAAGCTGCAGTTAGATGGCCAGTGTTTGAAGTTGATGTATCGAATGTCATATTCACAACTTGATTGATACAACGCCACTCCTTCAGCAGCTTCGCCGTCAACTGAGCCATTATTTCTCCGACTGACATGTCCATCGTCTTGAAATAACTTGGAACTCGGAGCAGCTTCAGCTGTGATGCATCACCTACAGCCACTCTCATACGCTCTTCAGTGATACATGGATTGTTGAGTGGGAGTCAACTTTCCATCCCAATGCAGAGTGAGGAGTTTGGGTGGCTGCCAGGTGTTTTGAATTGTTATCGCTATCTCACCTACTACCTTGCGCCTCCCACGATCGTGGGCATAAGTGGCATAAGAAGGCATAAGTGGCATAAGAAGAAGCAACCATTGAAACATCACCTCCAGATTCAGATATCAATCCCTGGGTGAATGCAGCTTGCTGTGTTGGTGTCATTTTAAGTCTTGTTGCCAATGACACTAGATTTGGTCAGTTTAGCAAGTTTGGAGGTATAAAGGCTATTGTTCCTGTTGGTTTTCTTTTAGATAGTGCTTTATCTGTTGATTCAGAGACTCTTCTGATTCGTCAGCATTGCTGTCTTCTAATTCAGTCAAAACTTCTGGTGATACAGGCAGTTTTAATGTTTCAATTTCATCACAAGCATACTTCAGACGTTTTGCTGCTGCAACATCGCGATCATGGTGCCTGGCTATCTTCTGGGCAAGTACCTTGTCAAATGCACCAAAGCTAGCAGCTCTATCCCCTTTCATTGACTGGAGGAATGCAAGATCCTCTGGATTTTTGACAAGACTTTCAAAATTAGGCGGCCAGAGCTGGAATGTCGATGCCAACATGGATTGCATATCTTCCAGTTTTTTCTTTGTGTTCGGTGTGTGACGATGGCTCTTTTTGATTGAACGGAGTCTGTTGTTATCATCTAAGAGTTTGATTATTTTCTCACATGCTCTTCTTTCTGTAACCATCAGTATGTTGGCTTTTCCATACAGCGATACAATTTCTTTCAACACTGTTTTTGCTGTTGTAAATCTTGATGGTGCACCAGTCGATTATGGGCGTTGACTGTTTACTGCTACATTGCAGTGGTACATCATGCTTCTTAAAACTTTTAGCAAGTTGGCAGCCAAATACCTGTGATTGTTCCATCATCTGCACATATAACAGGGTCGATCCCAAACAACTTGGTAGCTCAACGAGTCTGTGGCTTTTTTTGGAAGCTGAGAAAGGAGTTGTGTTTTAAGGACTTGGCACAACAGATACAGTTTTACTAGGTGATAATGGTTCTGGAAAAAAGAGAAAAGCTTGCAAAAAATACTGTACTCTTTTAGGTTCAAAGTAATTTCAAACTACTTCAACATCAAATCACCTAGGCTAGTGGACTCGAGTTTGAACACACATCAGATTTTATTAAAAATCTCCTCCGGGTTAACGAAATACCTAAGGATAAAAAAAAAAAAAACTTTAACATTTATATTTTAAATAAAATTTAGAAATTAATTATATTGCTGACATTAGCTATGCTTTCATCTATAATATGCTATACTATCCTATGTGCCCTATTTATAATTCTATATATTAACTGAATAAACTGATAATCTTTTAAACACTATACACAGTACACATAAGCAATTTCAGTTTATTAATTTTTTTATAAAAGTTACAAATAATAGAGCAAACAGTGTAAATTGTGAATAATACTGTATATTTATCAATCTGTAAAAATGATTGATCGTTATTTATATAACTTCTGAATTATTTATATAGCATAAAACAATCTTGAAAAAATTAAACATGGCTACCAAAGCAATTTGAATGTCAAAGATCCAACGGAAAAAATTTATGCAGAGCTTAATTTTAATTAACATATTTGAAACTTGTCCGGGCTGGTGGGATCTTTAAATATTGAGCAATTTTAATTCTTTTTTACCACAGTGTATCTTTCCACTAATAGAGCACAATTATATACCAGACAACTCAAAAATCTAAAAAAAAATTTGGTGATGCGCCCTACTATACAGGGCACATCAACTCGATTATATTTTTTTGCTAGAAAACAAAAATATTAAAAAAAAATATTTTCGCTTCTTTTTTTTTTTGTTAGTATAAAGTTGTATCTTTTGTACATTATTTTGTAATTGTTAAGTTTTGTTATTCTTTTGTTATCTCAATCTGATATTTCTTTATCGCTATAAAAAGTTCTTGTTATTATCTTCAGTCAATTAGTAACCTTAAATTATATAACCTCAATCATTATTTAGTTATATACGGCAATAAATCACAAACCAATGCATATAATTATGGAATAATTTACCTCTTTACTTTAAATTACTAAACCTTGTTACTAAAACCGGTCTTTATGCCTTTTTTTTGGAGAGATACTGCTTGTAAAATGTTGGGCTCATTATGGGTTATTATTATTACTTTTGGTGTTATTTTATGTAATAAAAATATTAAATATTTTATAAATTTCTTGTTTGGTGGAATTTTTATTTTACAGCTTAAGTTATTATTTAAAGTTTGAGTTGCAGTTTAAAGTGCAAAAAGTAAGAGCAAGTAATGTATTTAATACTACTAAGATATTTACAAACATTACAATATTTAAACCACTTTAATTAGTCATAGAAAACTGTTTAATACATTCATGCTGACTGTTATTGTTAAAAGCTATTAAACAACAATAAAACAAAGTATAAATTTGGTTTAACAATATAAAGAGCTTGTGTTAATGTAAAACAACTTTGTGACACTGTTTTATTACTGTTTTATACAGTTTATAACCTTATTAACGTAAAACGAGTTTTACGTTAATACATAGAACAAAACAAAGTAAATAAATAGAATTGTTCTAATTGATAAAATAAATTGTCAAAAAAATTTAAACATCATATTTGCGAAAAAAGCATGTCTATAGACCATACGAGTCTATAATCTATAGATCAAATATAGTAAAAAAAACTTACCACGTTTTTTATAATTTATTGTTTCTTGATATAGCGTACTATTAAAAATTTAAGTATAATTAAGTTTTTCATTCAAATGGTTTTTAAATTCTGATTTCATCCAAGTTTTTCATTCAAATTGTTTTGCAATAAAAATTGAAACAAAAAAATTTGGTTGAATAAATCAAGTATATTCTTAACTTATTTTTTTAGAAAAAAATTTCTTCGAACAGAAGTAAAATAATTTATTAATTTACTATTAAATTTTTTTTTTTTTAATCAGAGATTAAAAAAGTTAAAATAAAAATTTAATTTTTCTTTTAACTTTTTTAATCTCTGGTTTAATGTTTGCCATAGAATGTTTCTACTTTTAAAACTTATTTTCAAAAAACAAAATATAATTAACTGTTCAAAATAATTGCGATTTTAATTTACGATTCACGAAAAAAAACTTTCTTCCTCACTTACACTATATTCTAAAGCTGATATTGTTACTGTAGCTAGATGTACATTTAACTTTCAGCAACGATTCTCTTTATACTGGGTAAAATTCTTTTGTTCAAATAAGTTTCTTTTTAAATAAATTTCCTAAAAATCACTTATTTATAAAAAACATTTGATCTTGATATTGGTTTAAATAAACTAAAAAAAAATGGTGTCGTATTTTTTATATTCTATTCAAGATTTTTTGTAAATATTTTTAGATAGAGGCTTATGTTATGTGTTAACAACATATAAAATATAAATAGATACATTTATATGGCTAATTTTTGCAAAATCTCTTTGCAAGAGAGCAAAGATTATACCTCTTTTCAAAAAATAAATTTAGCATGACATACTTTATAACCCTGAATAAAAAAACTTTAAGACAAAAACATTACTTTTTAAGCATGGCTGAAAAAAAATGCTAAATTAAAAAGAAAAATAAATAACAAAAAACAAACAAACAAATAGTGAAAATATTTTTGTAAAGAAAACAATAAAGTGTAAAAAGCAATCCCAATATGCTTAATTTGAGCCCTTCTATAAGTAAACAGAATAACAATGTCAGTGGATGTACAATGTCAGTGGATGTAGTGTTATGTGGTTCTATATGTGTATAGTTAAATGATATGTTATGTTAATTTAAGTGGATATAGGTGTTTAAGTGGATATAAGTCGCAAAAATTCAAACTCCAAGCCCTACTAGAGTTTCATATGGAGTATTCTTTGATGAAGTTTTTTACTTATAAACAATAAAAATTAAATAATTTTTTTTTTTTTTGAATTTCTAGTTAATTTTTTTTTTGTGAAACAAACTAAAGTACACATCAGAATGTTAAACAAGAATATATTTTTTACTGCATTTTTGCAATATTGGAAAAAATACTACTAATAATAATATATCATAAATGATAAATAAATAATAATAAATCAAAATTCTCTTTAATAATACTGTACTTTCTGTACATTACTAGCTTGTTCTATTGTTTTTATATTATAAATAAATTAGCAATTTATTTTAAAAATATTATCAAAACATTTTTAGTTTTTTTTTCAATTGTCTGTTTACTTCTAGATCCACCTTCAGCAGATATCTTTCAAAGCCAGCCAGTCATCTAATCAACTATTAGAAATCGAGGTTTTTTATTGAGTTTGATGGTTTTAAAATTAGAAAATTTAAATATATTAAAAATAAAACTTATTTGAACAAAGGGTTATAGTATTAAAATTAATATTTACCTAAAAATGTTTTTTTTTTTTTTTTAAATCAAAAAAAAAAAATATTTATTTTTAATCAGATGAAGAATAAAAGTTTAAAAAACTCTGTTGAAGAATTATCATCCACTGTTGCTAATTTACAAGGGCGTGATCAGAAAACAACAACATTATTGCGTTTAAAGGTATTTCTTATTAAATTTTATATAATATTTTATGTTTTAACTATATACTTAAGTTCATATAACAAGTTTCATTAACCATTCCAAAAGAACAAAATTATTGACCAAAAGAATTGCACTTAATAGGGGATATAAAAAAACTATACTTATTGTTTTCTTCTTAAAGCAATGAAAAATAAAAATTTCTATTATAATTAACCTTAATAAACTTTAAATGTTACAGTAACATAATTGCATAAATCGCCGATTGGATATTAGTACCTGTCTAAATACCTGCTTGAAACGTGACCATTGGTATAAAAAGTTTCACCTGACCAGACCCGTAAAAATATGAGTCTTTGTAAGTCTATTTTACATCAACATTTTCCATACCTTTTTTTTTATATGTATATTCAAGCTTTCCGGATCAGTAAAATATGGGTCTTTACCAAAGCGACCATTTCTATACTAATTTATTCCACACAAATCATTCTTACTAACTTTAACATTATTTGGTAAAATAAAACAATTCTAAAACTTTCTAAATAAATTGCTTTAAGTGCGGTTTTGTATATAAGATCTTATAAAAGCATTTTATATAAGTGGATCTTATAAGAGATTTAAAAATCCGCATCGACTTTGCCTATATTTCTCCTAATACTTTTTTAGTGAACGATAGATTATGAGCATGAAAGTTCACATACGCACCTTTTTCCTATACTTAGAGCTTATTACCCTGTATATTTATTTGGAATAAAATTTTTTTCAAATTATATGATTTCATGAATGGGATCATTTTAAAAATTAAAAAATGTTTTTAAAAATAAAAATAAAAATTAAAAAAAAAGCAAGCTTGCTACGTGGAAATCTAAACTTTTTTTGAACAAAGTAAGGGGGTTTAAATAAAATGTTTTTATTTAGAACATGATTAAAAATTTTGATTTTATATATAAAATAAATAATTTTTATCAACTTAATTATTTTTTAAAATAATAAAAAGTTAAAATCACTTAATTTTAGGATAATTAAGTAATTTAAAGTTTCATAGCTATTTTACAATGCCTCCGTTAAACATTCTAAACCGAGTGCTAAATGACAGAATTTAGATGCCTATGAAAATAGTGCCTAACATATTTAATTAGGTAAATCTAGGCATCTAACACCATGAAGAAACGATTTTCTTACTTCCCCTCTTAATTTTTTTAGTAATATCTTCAGAATTTTTTCTTTTTGCTTTAATGGTGACCAGGTGAATAAAATAAAATAATAAAATGTAAAACAATGATCTACATATATAAGAATGTTTTCTTTCTTTCCTCAAAAGTGTTGCAAATACAGACTAAGCTAACTAATTAGTTAAACACATAAATAAAACTTGAGTAACTCAATATAATAATGCGCAAAACTACAATATTGTAGTTTTGCGCATTATTATATCAAGTAATAAAAAATTGTATTAATAAAGTTTAAAAATTTTATCATACAAAGTTGCCTTTACTCAGGGTTTTTTCTGTACTTGTTTTAATGAAGTCAACAAAAAATTATCTTTATGAAATTTTCATTAAATAAGATTGATTTCTCCGTACTTGCAAAAGCAGTTTGTATATACACATTAACAAACTTAAATGTTTTTATCACTATTTACTATATTTCTTTGACAGAAAAAATCATTATTGATTTGTATTATAGATAAAGTTTTACGGATCAGGAAAAAGGATACAACAATGGAATAACTAACATATTAATAAATTAAAACAAATAAATTAAAAGTTAGTACTTGGCTGTACTATATATATTAAATAAATTATCAAGTTTTTATATATAAAATAAATTATCAAGTATTACAAGAAATGTGATTGTAACAAAGTCATTAACCAGCTGTATTTTATTTTATTCACTCACACTTTTATTTATTCTATTCACTCACACATTTATTTTATTCACTCACACTTTTATTTATTTTATTCACTCACACTTTAATTTATTTTATTCACTCACACTTTTATTTATTTTATTCACTCACACTTTTATTTATTCTATTCACTCACACATTTATTTTATTCACTCACACTTTTATTTATTTTATTCACTCACACTTTTATTTATTTTATTCACTCACACTTTTATTTATTTTATTCACTCACACATTTATTTTATTCACTCACACATTTATTTTCTTCACTCACACATTTATTTTCTTCACTCACACTTTTATTTATTTTATTCACTCACACTTATATTTATTTTATTCACTCACACTTTTATTTATTTTATTCACTCACACTTTTATTTATTTTATTCACTCACACTTTTATTTATTTTATTCACTCACACTTTTATTTATTTTCTTCACTCACACTTTTATTTATTTTATTCACTCACACTTTTATTTATTTTATTCACTCATACTTATATTTATTTTATTCACTCACACTTTTTTTTATTTTATTCACTCACACTTTTATTTATTTTATTCACTCACACTTTTATTTATTTTATTTACTCACACTTTTTTTTATTTTATTTACTCACACTTTTATTTATTTTATTCACTCACACTTATATTTATTTTATTCACTCACACTTTTTTTTATTTTATTCACTCACACTTTTATTTATTTTATTCACTCACACTTTTATTTATTTTATTCACTCACACTTTTATTTATTTTCTTCACTCACACTTTTATTTATTTTATTCACTCACACTTTTATTTATTTTATTCACTCACACTTTTATTTATTTTCTTCACTCACACTTTTATTTATTTTATTCACTCACACTTTTATTTATTTTATTCACTCACACTTTTTTTTATTTCATTCACTCACACTTTTATTTATTTTATTCACTCACACTTTAATTTATTTTATTTACTCACATTTTTATTTATTTTATTCACTCACACTTTTATTTATTTTCTTCACTCACACTTTTATTTATTTTATTCACTTTTATTCTCAAGGTCTGAAGAGCAATATGAACAATAATGACATATTTAAGATTTTTAAATTTTTTTTTGAATAAGTCTTCCCTCTCTCATCAGTTTAACTTCAAAACACCAATCTTGATGTTCAGTTAAAAAAGAAAATAAGAAATAAGAAAAGTTTCCTTAAGAAACAAGTTAATAGTGGTGTTATTAAGAATGTGGTGAGGATGGAGCCTAAAAACTTAATGAGTGAGCACTCTACCATTACACCACCAATGCTATAAATATCATCCAATAAACAATGATTAGAGTTAAAATAGTTAACTGTCACACATTCCTAATGAAACCTAATGGAAAAGAGTTAACTGCCACACATTCCTAATGAAACCTAATGGAAAAAGAGTTAACTGTCACACATTCCTAATGAAACCTAATGGAAAAAGAGTTAACTGCCACACATTCCTAATGAAACCTAATGGAAAAAGAGTTAACTGTCACATATTCCTAATGAAACCTAACGAAAAAAGAGTTAACTGCCACACATTCCTAATGAAACCTAATGGAAAAAGAGTTAACTGTCACATATTCCTAATAAAACCTAACGAAAAAAGAGTTAACTGCCACACATTCCTAATGAAACAGCTATTAAGCAGTTTGGTTTATTTTTTCAATGTATAAGGTAGTAAAAAATACTGATTAAAACAATTCTGAAAAAAAATTGTTAGTAATTTCACAGTAGCCTCTAAGTTAAAATCTTTCTTGTTTTTGTATAGAGAAATCATTACTCCACTGTAAGGACACCGTGAGGTTTCCAGAAAATGTCTTTTGAGTGAAAGCAAAATTTTAGTCTTAGTTGACATGAATCTTTTAAACTTTGAAGAATACAGTAACTAAGAAAGCACACAGAAATCTGTTAACATTTCCAATAGTAGGCAAATGTGTGCTAGGTTAAAAGCTCTGTGATGTTTTATGGTGGTAAACAGGCATTCTTGCATTGTAATTTATTAGTGTTATAACTCCTTTATTTTTTTTTCTGCCCATTTTTTTGAAACATTCAAATATTTGAAAAAAAATAGATTTTAAAATTTAGAACATTGAAAATAAAAACTAATTAACTTTACTTTTAAGTGTATAGAGTTATTTTATATGATAAGAACTAAATAGCTAACAATAGTAGAGTATTGGGGGTTGGGGAGTTGTGGTGGTGGGGAGTAAAGTGTATTGACACAAGAAATAGTGAAGATACCACTATTTCCTGTGTTAGTACACTTTAACAGAAGCTAGATATGAAAATGTTGTCTATTGAAATTTATTTAAGTTATATAAATTGATTTTTAACATTATAATATTTGTGTTATTTTTAATGTTTTATTGTTAGGGATAGTGCAAATCCACGTAGCTATAATTGGACAATACCGCGTATCCGCGTATCAGAATTTTTATTGTAGAAAGTTAAAACTTTATGTTTTTTTTTATTTTACTGATTTTAGGCTCATTTTAGAATAGAGAGTATTATTCGTGCTCTATGTAATATCAACAATAGTATGTCAATGTTAGTATAACAATATATATATATATATATATAGATACATACATACATATATATATATATATATATATATATATATATATATATATATATATATATATATATATATATATATATATATATATATATATATATATATATATATATATATATATATATATATATATATATATATATATATATATATATATATATATATATTAGGGTGATTCAGATTGTAATAGAAAAAAAAAATGTCACAAAAAACATTCTCCTCAAGGTTGCCTGTGTTCCTTTATCACCTAGGATCATGTGTACCAAAAATTAGACTAAAAGAAGCAATTTTAGGGGTTGCCATGTTTTATAAGATGAATTAACCATTGGTAAAATTTTGTGATTTTCTCAAATTTCGCAAATTTGTTTTTTCATTGTTTATTTATTTATAATTTAGAAATTGATAATATGGCAACCACTAGATCTTCTGCTGAGGTGTGGCTTGTTGGTAAACCTACACAAACTCTGTCGACTGCCAGACTTCCTTCAAGAGGGGATGTTCTTCGGAGGTT